GGGTAGGGAGGGGGGGGGGGGAGAGCAGGGCAATGAGGCTCAGGGAAGCAGATAACTTTTTTTGAGCGCTGGGTTTTTGCAAAACTGGCTTTCTTTGTTCAGAAAAAATACATTTCTCACTGCCACCACTTGAAGTTCTTAAGTTTATCTCCTCTCCAAATGGTTCTTCTCCTGGTAGCACAGAAACTCAGGAGTGTGAAGGGCATTATTACAGCCTGTCTCGCATTTATGCAGAGGACCAGTTGATTATGAATAATTAAAGTTCATTCTTCATAATGCTGCATGAGAGAAATGCGGTTTCTCTTTAAAGAGCTACATCAGCAAAACTCCTCTAACTCTTATCCATGCTTATTTAGCCAGTGACGTTTATTCTTTTATGCTGGTCACCTCCTCTTCCTTCTCTTTCCCCCTTCTTATGTTCTCCAACTGTCAGCTGCTTTCCTTCTCTCTCAACACTTCCTCAGGTTCTCCTACCTTGTCTTCCTAATCCTGTAGGGACATGTCCCATTAACCCTCTTCTGCATTCTACTAAAGCCACCATCTACTGTTGCATCACAAGAGTTATGACCCACCTAAGAATAGTGGGAGAAGCAAGGGCAGTAGAGGTAGGAAAAGTGTATGTGTCGGGGCGGGAGGGGAGCTACGTTTAGGAGGAATTACTCCCGCACTACTTAAACGTAGCAAAGGGGTCCAGACGCTTAGTCCTGGAAAGTCCTGGGAAGGAAGAGAATCGGGATGCAGTACAGGTAGTCCTTGGCTTACAGAAAGGAAACTGGGACTGGGATTGCTGTCACTAAGCGATGTGGTCGTAAAGCACAATGTCACGTGACCACATCGCCTAGCAACGACCATCCTGGCAGTCCTGGTTGCCTTCGTAACCCCAAGACGCATGGGTCGTTAAGCGGGAAGTGGTGGGAGTCCCCGGTAAGGAGTGTGAGGGTGCCGCAAAGGGGGGGGCTATGGGGGGGAGGTTCAGGGAGGGCCAGCACAGGCTGTAGGAGTTGGGGGAGGCCGGGGGAGGGCTTGGGAGGCCCAGCACAGGCCGCGCACGAGCACAGGAAGGCGGGGGGTGGATGGCACAGCACATGAGGGCAGAAGGCCGGAGGGTGGATGGTGTGGCGCAAGGCCAGGGGGACTTACCAGAGCAACTTGCGACCTTCCGGGTCGGCCTCCTCATTGACTTGGGGGAAGCTGGCAGGGAAGGTTGCAAAGGGCGAACTGTCGTAAGTGCGAGCCAGTTGCCAAGTGCTTGAATCGTGATAATGTGACTGTGGGGGCACCGCGACGGCCGTACCTTTGAAGTCCGGGTGTACGTACCACTCATTCAGTGCCGTTGCAACTTCAAACGATTGCTGAACAAGTGGTCGGTAAGCGAGGACTACCTGTACAGAGGTGGTGGACTTAATGATAAAATCTGCATTCTAGACTTGCCTTTTTTTCCTATAATTTGTTTTATTGTATTATTATATAAGTAATACATAAGTAGTACATTATATTATTTAAGTACAATGGTATTTAAACAATATTGACTAGAGATTATTAACTCTAATGTTTAGGTAACTTAAACCTTTAGAGATAAAAAAAGAAGTTTATATCAGTATTAACTACAACTTCTAAAATGTCAATGTTGATAAGCATAAAAATGTTTAAAATTTGCATCGAGAACTAAATGTGGCATTAATAAGCAACTGCAAAACACATCCAATTATTTGTTATACAATAAAGGTCGCTGTCTTAAGCTTAATACTTAATACTAAGGTCTCCACTGCAGTGTTCCTTATTCTCTTTTGTACATGTTAAAGAAAAAAAAATAAAAATAAACAACAGCAAAACGAAAAAGTAAAAAAAAAAAAAGCTATTTAGTTTCTAGACTTGCCTTTGATCCTCCCCCATACTAAAACCAGGAATGTGATTTACTTATGTATTCATTTAAATTGGCAAACGGACCAACAGCCAACCCTCTCCAGGCGGTTTACAATAAAGCATGCTAAAAAATACAATCTGGGTAAAAACATATACAGTATGATCAAATGAAACAGAATACAAAATGAAACACCCCATGAACCAGGCAGCAGCACGCAGTTATTCAAAAAACGAAAATATGAATTAAAATACACTTAAAAGCCAGTTTAAATGCTTGGGAAAATAGAACGGCCTTCACCCAGTGTTGAAACGATGCTAATCTAGGCGCCACTTGAGCCTCTCTGGGGAGGGAGTCCAGAAATGGGGTGCCCCCATGGAAAAAGCTCTCCCCCTTGCAGAGGCCACCTCCCCTCCTTTGGCGAATGGACCTGGAGGAGGGCCTCGTTAGATGATCTTAAGGTCTGGGTAGGTACATGTGAGAGAAAGTGCTCCTTCGAGTAATCTGGTCCTAAACTATGTAGAGCTTTAAAGGTCAAAAACAGCACTCTGAACTGGGTCCAGAAATGAACTAGCAACCAGGGTAGATGGCAAAGAACTGGCATAATATGCTTGTGTCAGGCAGTGCCAGTGAGCAGTCTAGCCACTCTGCTTTGAACTAACTGGTTTCCAGACCATTTTCAAAGGCAGCCCATGTACAACACATTGCAAGAATCCAACCAGGAAGTCAGCAGAGTGTGAATAACTGTTGCAAGTCTGTCCAGGCAAGGTCACCACTGTGGAGTCCTTCGGGTTCTCTGAGCTCGGTTCTTTTCTTGCAAACGTTTCATTACCCGGCTAGGTAACATCTT